GCGTTACCCCCCCCCAACCCACAAGCGTGAGAATTAAACCCTCAAAAAAACAAACCCGCTGGAGGAATTCGACTGCTCCAACCTGCAGCCGATCCCCACCGGGACGGGATGCTTTATCTCCCAGATTAAAACACCGCACAGCTGCGCGCCGGGCAAACGCATCTGGGAGCCGCAGCCGCAGCGTCTCCTCCTGCCAGGCAGCAGGAGCAGCGATGCTAACGCGATGCTGTCTTAGCAGAGACAGAGGCCGCTCGCTGCCCTGGCACAACCGGCAGCGCTCTGGCACCGGTACCGACGCCGGTCCCAACACCCAGCCACGCACGGTGACCTGCGGCGTCACCCGAGGCCCGTCTGTAACCGGTCGCCCCCAGTGTACCTTGTAGTTGCCGCCTCGCTCGCCAGCACCCTCCCCAGTCGCCATCTGCTCGGGGGGACTTTGTTGCTCAGTCATTGTGCCTGGAAAACCCAAATTGTCGGACATTAAACACAACATCGCTTTCAGGTGAGGAATCAGGCTTTAAACTACAAAGTGCTTAATAAGTTATAAAAGATGAAGCAGAAGTGAACACGTTTGCCCCTGACCGCAGCTGCTGTAAACTCACAGGGATGCCCAGACAGGGAGGAAGCAGCCATCCCCATCCTCCTCTCCCTCCTGCACCCCGGCCCTGTGTCCTCACCCCGGTATCAGAGCACCCTCGACCGAGCCACGGCACCTTCCAGGTGACCTGGGGTCCCTCTCTGACCCCCTGCTCACCACACATCTAAAAATCCATCCCATGTCTCCAGCAGGAACTTGCCAGCTCCCATCTGCCACCGCCTTTCCCCACCACCGTGGAGGCCCAGGGCTCTCCCCAGCAGCCCCAGGGGCCTCAGTGGCCACGTTGGGTGGTGGGAGGGCAGCGAGAGACCCCCTTTGCTCTCCAGAAACATCTCGCAAAGGCTCATTCCCACTCAGAGAGGAGAGCCCCAGCCCATCGCGCCTCCCCCTGCCACGGCTTGGCGAGAGGATAACGGGAGACGAAGCAAAGAAAACGAGTTTGGCCGGCGGCCTAAACCAAATCCCCGCGGCACCGCTCCTCGCCGAGCGCCGTCAAAACATTCGCCATGGCGAGACCTCGACTCAGACACGCTCATTCCTTTACAAAAACCCCGTCCAGGCCAAGCCGCGCCGCCGCTACCTCTCCCGGCGCGGTCCCGCTCTGCGGCCGGCGCGGGCGGCCCCGCTATTTATGCTGAACGGAGCAGCCAATTTTTGGGGCGCTGATACAGCAGCTGCGTCCACTGAATTCCAGCCATGGGATCTCCTCTCAATAGCGCGGGCTCGCAGCGCGCCATGGAAACGTCATTCAGATTTCTCCCGGCCGTCCCGCGAAAAAAATGCGATTAGTGTCGAAATTCGCGTCAGCACGTTCAGGCCGCTTCTTGCCAGGGTCTCTGGAAAACTCTCCCATCAGCAGTTACTGCCGGGGCTGGGCCTGCAAACCGGGCCTGGCACAAAGCGAGAGAAAAAACCCACGTTAAATATTGACAGCGCGTTTGGGCTCGAACCCGAGATGGGACACGGGGCCGGTGTCGCTGCAAGGACCTGGAGGTGGGCTGGTACCACGGCGAGAGGGAGACTGGAGCTCAGAATTTGGGTTTGACCCCCCTTGAAAACATTACCTCCTCCCAAGCCCCTTTTCCCTCTGTGCACTCCGGTTCGTGGCCCTCCAGGGGCTTTCGGGAGCCGAGCGCTGGGTTCGTCCATCCCTGGTGTCACCGGCCAAGGGATGGTTTGGACCCACAAAGGCCCCAGCGTGGGCAGAGGTTCAACAGAGCCCGTTTTCATCGTTTCTTTGAATAAGGAACTGCTTTGCTGTGAAATACAAAGTCACTTCTGCGCAGAAAGAGGAACCGAAGGAGGGCGCAGACCGGATTAATTTGTCGGTTTTACCGAGCACAACCGCGTCTGTTTCCACCAGATCAGAAATACAGATTGCTCGTAGCAGTCCCCTCCTTTCCTCCTCCCCGTTGCACTGAGCTCTGCAGCGGCTGCAGTGCCCATGAATCTTCTTTTCCCAAAACGCAGCCTGCTCGTTGATAGGGCAATAGCAGAACCACGACAGAAGGGGCAGTAGATCTCCCTGATTTGTCTCCCTAACAGAACCCAATTTCCCTTTGCCGTCAGCCTCTTAAATCCCTTTGAGAAATGCTTGCAATATAGGCCGACAAAACAGGCTGTTCTTCTTCATAGCTGGTACATCTAAATTTGAATCCTAATTGTACAGTTCAACAAACAGCCGCCTGGATCTTTATTGCTTAGGAAACTACGCAGTGCAAAATACTTTTCTACTGTAAAATATATTTATTATGTGACCAATATTTAGGTATTGTACGTGGAATGATATAAAACTTTTACCTGCGCAATGGCTGCTTTAAAAACCTGGTATCGGGTCCCCTCGTGGGGGCTGCGCCGTGGGCTCACACGCGTCCTTCAGGGAGGTGACAGCGATCCCTGACCAACGGCATCTTCACGTGAGCACAGCTGCGGCCACAGCACCAGGCCTCTTCTGGAGAGTTTGCTCTGTTCAAGGACGCTGGGTTGGCACCAGCAGCAACGGTGCCAAAATGGTGCTGAAATCGCAGCTCCTGCGGGCGCTGCTGAGCCCCCTGCCCCATCTCCCACCGCATGAGCACCCCCAGTGGCGTGGGTTTACGGCTCCAAACCAGGCACCTGCAGCGAGGGCTCCCCAAACCCCCTCCACCCCATCCCTCACCCCGAGTACCACACTCCCAAACACCTCCCAAATTCCCACCTCCCAAATCACCGCGTTATTTGCGGCTCTTCACAAAGCAGGCGCAGCCCGGCCGGTGCTGACACCACCGCTCCCCTCCGTGCTTCGCTCTGCCCGCACCGGTACCGCACCGCATCCATAAATCCAACACTCGGTGCGTTGAAATAAAGGTTTGCAAACACGTCAGAAGGGAAAGCAAGCTTTTGTGCGAGGATAAAGGTGTGGGGGGTCAATTCCTACGGGGCCACTTTGTTGCTGACACCGAGGAGCTGAGATGCTGCCCATTTCGCTGCAGAAAGTAACGCCAAAGCAGCCAAATTACAAGCAGGCACTCGAAAGGACTCAAACTGAAGCTTCTGCATCTTTAAAAAGGTGAATTTGCGAACAGAAAAATCAAATAGTTGGTAATTCATGACAAAGCACGCCTGGAGAAAGAGCTGGAGCCAAGGGCTCGCTCCCATCTCACGTTAACAGCAACCCCCCTCTCCAAACAGACTCAAACAAGCATTATTTGGCATTAAAATAGAATTGTAAAAAGTGTATTCCAGTATGGTCTACCTTTTTAAGAAGTAATAACATCTTTATAGATCTTTTATTACATAGTGATAACCTGAAGAGCAGGAAGGAGATCTTTAATGCACGTACAACATCAGGAAATGGTAGAGCAGAAAAAAAACACTTTCCCATTCAACAACATTCTAAAGATGGTTTTTAATCAGACATTGAAGCATTAAACATCTCTCAGTAGTAGGTTAAACTACCCAGTACAGTGACTTTCAGTGCATTGTCCGAGCAGACGTGGAAATGCATATACACATTCAAAGGGCTCTGTGGAAACCCCGCGCGAATCCCCTCGGTTTCCTCCAACACCGAGCAAACGCCGCGGGGCCTGAATTTCTGGGGTGTGCTGATCAGAGCAGGGAGCAGGAAATGCTCCAGCTCTGGGTAACGCCACGCTGCCATTCAGAAACGGGTTCAAAATCCAAGTGTTCTCATGAGCAGGGGGATTTACCTCATTTCTAGACACTGCCTAAGCTTTATCCGAGCGATGGGGAGGAAACCATCCCGGGTTATTCACTCGCATCTCCACCGGGGCTGCGTCGCTCGTGGTGCACGACGACGGCACACCTGGAGTGCTGCCACCAAAAATACCCCAAAAGAGACACAGGCAAAGCTTACGTTAAAGATTCGCCTTTTCCACCATCATCTAAAGGAAAGGGAAGAAGGAAACATGTGCAACATTTTAAAGTGAGCTCCGAGGAGCTCCAACAGTGGTCGACTGCGCTCGGTGGAGCCCATCTCCCATCGCCCCGGGGTTAACCCACCCCGAACGCTTGGCAGGGACCTCAGGTGGTTGTTCCTTAACTGGGAGCAAAGGGGCCCTAAAACCTCAACGGTGTCAACAGCTCTGCTGTGAACTAGGGCAAAGCAGCAAGGAAAGACTTTGTGCACAATAAAAGGTATTGGTTTCATCTCCGTTACGCGCGGGGAGCTGCCATCCAACTCGATCTGGGAGAGCTGCGCATATGGGACTTGTCTCCTGCCATTCTGCCGCTACTTCCCATGAGCAGATTGGGACTGAAAACCACCTCATCTGCGACTCCTCCGTCAGGAGAATTGGCACACGGTTTTGGCAGCTCCGAGCCCGATAGACAGCAGAGCAGGCGCGCCGCTCGGGTTAGCAGATGCACCGTGGTGGCAACCCCAAGCTTTCCGAAACGCCCGTCGTTGAAAATAAAATAAAAGAGGAAAATGAGTTCAAGTGCTGGTGCGTTATCTTTAATATCTGGAGAAGCCCAGCAGCGGGACACGGGGAGTGCAACGAGAGGAGCAGCCCCAGGGTCCCTCGCTGTCCCACGGGGCAGGGCACAGCTCCCGTCTCGCGTCCTCCTCCCACGCCGCTGCTTTCAGAGCGGAGAGGAACACTGACCCGGCACAACGACCTCCCTCGTCGGGCTACGTTTGTACGGGTTTACAGAAAAGAGCACTTATTTGGGGAGAGAATAAAATACGTCTTAAATGGACACCCGGGTTGATTTCAGAATCTGTATTCAAAGATCCGGAGATACTGGAGATATTAGTGATACTCATCACACCCGTGTTACGCGTGAGATACCTACACCGCTATTGTAGCATCTGTCTTAGCAAAGGAAAAAAGGGGAAATCGTCTGAGAAACTGAAGATCACGTTTAGGTTATCCCACAAAATCAGCATAAAAATAAAAACTTAAACCTGGTATTTACAGATTAACGAATAAAAACATGAAGTGGGACTATCCAAACTGCTATTAAAGTGACATTCAACAATGAACTGGAACCCTGATATGAGTGTAACATCCTCCCTCTTCCCTTCCTTTTTTTTTTGTTATAAAAACAGTATTTACAATTTTCTAACGTTTTTTAAGAGAACTGGTTGACATTATTGCTTGATCCTTTTCAGGAAAGACATCCCAATGAAGCAGTTAATTCCACATGCTGACAAAACACAGAAGATACCATTTTCAAGAGTGACAAAAGGTAACGTTTCTGTTCATCTAAAAATTATACCCATCTGCCAGGTCAGCAGATCAACATGTAAATATACGCCAATCAAAAATACGTTTTACAAAAAAATAATCAAGTTTCCTTTTTCGATATGGCAGTAAACAGGATTTGTTCTTTCACTCTCACCTTCCACAAACTTCATTCTAAACAGGAGCTATGGTTTTTTTCCACCAAAAAAAAAAAGATAAATTTGATTTAAATTGTTATTTTCATAAACAAACACAAAGCCCAGCCTTACACCTGACACGTCTACCCGAAGTCGTAATTCCGAGTTGCTGAACACCCGGGCAGAAACGCAGTCTCTGTTCACCAGCGAGGGCTCTCCCCTGGCGCACAGCGCTCCTACATCAAATATCAGGGGGTTCTCCTGACGTTCTGACGTGCTCCCTCTTGCAGGCAGATCTCGAGCGACCGTCCTCCCGTTTCCAGAAAGATCCAGCTTTGTATTTGACTATGAACATTAAGCAGCTTTCTCCACAAAACAGGAAGGCACCATGCACATAGCAGTTGAGGCAGGAAGCAAACAGCAGCAACATGACATGTGAAGTTTAGGTTCGGATGAGTTAAGGCTTCTGTTAAACTTCTTTATCTTCTTCTCGTTAAAACCACTGTCTGGAAAGGAAAAACAAAGAGAAACAACTGCATTAATGGTTTGACACAGCCAAGCACGCTCAGTCTTGTCCATGGAAGCGCTGTGAAATCCCAGCACAAACCATCCCAGGGCTGTTGAAGTAAAATCATCCGCAAATGAAAACTTCGCATCTACCAAAAGCGCTCTGCCTCGGCACAGAATTACTTCACGTTCCTGGGTGCACACGTCAAGGTAAGTCCACTTCCAGGTTTATACAGAGTTGATACCCTGAAACGCTTGTCCGTGTGTGTTTTTAGCCCCTCTTTACGCCACAAGGTACCTTTTCAAACCTGATTCTCATAATGGCTCTGTCTCTTCTTTGATTTCAGCTCCTTCAGCCACTGAGGAGACTTCTCTTCCGTCCTAAAACATTAAAAAAAAATACTCTTTATTCTTTCATTCTGAAAATTCATTACGGAAAAAAAGAAATACACAATTTCTCCTACATCTTTGGAAAGCCCACTTGCATTCTTTTGTTTCCCCAGCATCTTTCTGCCCGGTGGAAGTCCCTCACCTCTCCTCCTTCTCTACGCTGGAGGGCAGCAGTCTGCCACCAGGAGCTCCGAGCTGCGGTTTTGGGGATCTGAATTGCTGAGCAGAGCCGATTTCCCCAGGACTCTCAGACTCGTGTCTTTTCCGCAGCTGGGCCTAAAAAAAATACAAAGAAAGAGAAGAGACCCTTTTTAAGGCAGCGTTCAGATTTTTTTTTTTGGAATGCAAAGCAAATAACTTGGATTTGTAGCAACAAAAAAATCCATGCCTGACGTCAGCGAGGGGACTCCTGATAAACTGATGTGGTTTTGAAAGCATGTTTGCTATTGCAAAGCTATTTCTGTTGCTCTGCTCCTAGAGCACCTGCAGGTCCCGACCCCCCTGACCCATCCGATGGGTTCTGCCTGTGCCCACCTTGAGGATGGAGTGGTCCATCCCCGGGAACACGGGAAGTCTGGGAGCGTGGGCGGACGACGACCTCGCACCGTGCTGCACCTTTTCTTCCTCATCAGAGTCTTCCCGTTGCATAGTTTTCTTCTCTTCTAATTAATTGTTTTAAAAAAAAAAAAAACAAGAGCAGAGGGGAAAATAGATGAGCCAGCGTGCTTTTCATCTACACCTTGTTCTAGACCCCTCCTTCCATTCAAAAACACATTAAGAGTAATATTAACACCCAGTTCAGTGCTTCAATAGAGAGCAAAGCAACAAGCACAAAGTACTCAGCGGCAGAAAGGTTTCTTGCTGACAGATGAGGGAGCAGAAGGCACTTTAATTTAATGAATTTTGCTGTTTCTGAACACCTCAGCTGACCACAGAAGGTGAGATTAATTTAGACTGGAAGAGACATCTAAAGTTATCACGTGCATTAATCCACGCATCCGCTTCCACGAGCAAGGGTTTCCTGTGCCCAATGCATTTCCTATTGCATCCCAAGGAACAGGCCAGGCCAGGGGATATGTTTAACAGACTGGATTTGAAGGAGTTGATATATCCTGAATTAGGCCCCTTCAGTCCCGTAGATGCTAGAAAGAAAGAATATTTACAAGCACCTACAGGATACGAACAATTACAGTTGCTCTTATCAGTTACACACAGGCTTAGATACAAAGAATGTGTTAGAAAATGCATCCAACCGTAGCCATTTCTGAACTCAGTATTTTCTGTGAACAAATCTCCCAAGTCAGCAGCCAGCACCTAAAGGAAATCGCATCAAACCTTTCCTTGGCCCAGGTTTTCTGTACGTCTGGCTGGCTGCTGCTGCTTCCCTCGCTCCAAAGGATCCAAGGAAAGGAGGAGAAGACGATTTAGAGGATTCCAGAGGAAGCTGCTGTGAAACCTTGATGCAGCTTCAGGTTCATTACACCATGCAGAAATCACAGCATATTACAGAATATGAGGAGTTGGAAGGGACCTGGAAAGCTCCCCCAGTGCAACCCCTGCCAGAGCAGGATCACCAGAGCAGTCACACAGGAACACGGCCAGGGCTTTGGGTGTCTCCACACAAGGAGACTCCACAACCTCTCTGGGCAGCCTGGGCCATGCTCCATAACCCTCACACTCACAAACTTTGGCCTCATCTTCAGCTTGAACCTCCTGTGCTCCAGCTTGGGACCATTGCCCCTTGTCCTGGCATTGGCCATCCCAGAGCAGAGCCTGGCTCCTTCCTCCTGACACTGCCCTTTCCCAATGGATCCCCAGGAATGAGGGCACCCCTCAGTCTCCTCCGCTCCAAGCTCAAGAGCCCCAGCTCCCTCAGCCGCTCCTCAGCAGGAGATGCTCCACTCCCTCCAGCATCTCTGTGGCCCTGCTGGACTCTTTCAAGCAGTTCCTGTCCTTGAGCTGAGGGCCCAGCACTGGACACAAGATTGCAGCTGTGGTGTGAGCAGGGCAGAGCAGAGGGGCAGGAGAACCTCTCTGCCCTACTAATTCCTGTCCTTACAACTAAGTTCATTACTATAGTATTTATTTATTATAGAAGTCATAATAATTATGGCTAATTATTTCAGGCAGTTGAGGGATACCTGTGGAATCTTTGAACATCCAGGCGTTATCTGGTTCTTCTGTCAAAGAAAATCTGTTTTCAAACTCCAACCCCCTGCTTCTCCTCAGAGAATGGGAAATAGGAGCCCGGCGGCGTCTCTTCTTGCTGAGCTGTACACGAGTTTTCAGCGCGCTGGAGTCCAGGACAGTGGTTTGCTATCAAAAGAAACACAACCTCTACTTTCAACCAGCCAGAAAATAAAAGTCATCTCCTCCACAATGATTTCCCAACGTATTTTAACGCATTAACCCATTTGGTTAATTAAACTACATATATTTGCCTGATTATTTTTCTTGTAGTTACTTAGAACTGTATTAAAGAGAATTCATTATAAGGATATGCTGCATTGTGGCTAACTGGGTGCAATGCTGGTTCTTTGATCTCTCTTGGCTGTGGAGGTCTGATCTGCATGAATTATTTGCATTAAATTAATATAAAAAATAACTGTAATAAATAGGATTTTGGTTCCTAGAGTGCTTGAAGAATTCAGGCCTTGCTAGCTAGAAACAGCTGAAGGCCAATAACAAGAATGGGATCTAAAATGAGCGACTACGCAAACTTCTCTTGCAAGAGAGCTGTAACCCACAGAAATTTCAAGCTGCTCAGCAGCAACAAGGAGACTGCAAGTGAAGCGTCACAGCATTCAGAAAATTTCTGTGATCAGTCATTGCAAACACGTCCGTCCCTGTGCATGGCAACGTTTACAGAGCAAAAGGAGCAGCTGCAATTTAGTTACGCAAAACAATTTGTTGTTAGAGATTTGCCTGTAATCAGCAAACATCAATGAGCCTCCTCTTTGGAAGGTGTGTTTTTATTTCTTTTCAAGACCCATTTCAGTTGGGAATCTTGCACCCACCAATGCATATACTTAAAATTGTGCCCCCACTCTCACTAAAGAAAGAGCAGTACTCCTAGATGCTACACTGAGAAACTACAGTTGTGTCAGTGCTTTCAAGGAACACTAAACCTCACCTAGCTGTGGATGGCCAGGAATTACTGTCCTGACTCTAGCTGCAAGGTTCTAAAGGATGAAAAAAATCCTTGAAAATGCAATTGTAAGCTATTACAGGAAAAGACCAATTGTAAACAACATTAGTGAACATCTTCATAGCCTTAAATCTACATGGCACAGCAGTCATTAGCTATTTGTGTTATTGAATTATGTTTCCAACGTTCATAGAGCCATTTAACTCTTCTGTTACAGCTCACAGAGGAGCAGAAAGAGAAACAGCAATGTTATTAAGCCACTGGCAGATACTATTGGAGACCAATAGTTTTTCAGGAAACTCAGAACCTAAGCACTGCAGGAACTACAAGAACTTTGTAGCTCCGATGTTAAACTTTTCAGGCAGGAATTCAGCTGGGAAAATTTGATGTGATGAAGAAAAGGCAGAGGAAGATTGAGTGCAAGGTTTCCAGAAGACACCGCTTTGCAGTGATTAAAGCGGGCAACAGTTTAGTTAACGCAGGAGAACTTGCGTGACCCGCGATGGTAACTTACATCAATGAAAGAGAAATCCGCCGCCTTTTCTCCAGGGTAGGTGTCTCCTGGAGGAGGCAAATCGGCCCCGTCGGTGGAGTCCATGTCGGTGCTGGATCGGTCCAAACTGGTGCTCCTTTGGTCTTTGGAGAAGTCATGGTGGTCAGCCAGGGAGGCAGGCTCTGTCTGCGAGGACAGCGACGATGGGTGGCTGCTGGGAGGCTGCTTTCTCGTCGAAATGGCATCGTTTTCTGAGGAAGGAGATTCGGGCACAAAGCTGCAAATGAAGAGAATGAAATCTATGAGACTTCAGGGTAAACAAATCCATGTGAGTGCAGTTTGGATCATGGGTACTCAGCAGATGACGAATGAAGGCAGAACTGAAACCATGACTGTGAGTGACACAGGCATCTTTGGGTACTTCTCTCAGAAGTATATTTATATTTCTTTTAATTTAATTCAAATTCATCTATTATTAATGTATTATTCTATATCTTATATATATATATATA